GCCTGTAGTCCCAGCTACTTGAGAGGCTGAGGCAAGAGAATCGCCTAAGCCCAAGAGCTGGTGGTTGCTGTGAGCTGTGACGCCAAAGCACTCTACCAAGGGTAGCAAAGTGAGACTCTGTCTCTAAAAAAAAAAAAACATATTATCTTAGCTCAACTCTCTGGAGAATCTGAATTATCCAAAGGCTTTTTAAATTTTATTCCTTCATTTCTTATTTTTAGCTCAGCCTGGATTTACTGATACAATAAAGAAGGAATCTTTCAAATGGGGCATAGGACACCAGTGGTCATCATAAAACATACCCCCTGCTCCCCAAATGATATAATACCATAGAAGATAAGGTCAGGCCCTGGGAAAGCCACTTAAACAAATAAAAGAGCTTATCAAGAGCTCCCCACTGCATCTAATCAAACCTCTGGAGGCAGAGGCACTGGCATCACATTCCAAAAAATAGGAACTGGGTCACAGAAAAGCAAACTTCCCCAGGTCACAAAGGTAGTAAGTGCCAGCCAGGATGCAAGCCCCAAACTCCTAAGTTTTAAACCTACCCTTAGTCCCCAGGAATCAGAGCCAGGAAGGAGCCTACCCTAAAACACGCGCAGGTCTTCCCCAAGCTGTACTACATTTTCTGTCCAGAACAGAACTGCTAATGCTAAGCCTGTGTTAAGATTCACTCTCAAACCCTAGTCAGTAAGTGGTAGAAATAATGAAAAGAAATTTTAGACTGAGATTAATTACTTTTTTAAATTTTAAAGTGAAAGGTAAAGAAATTAAAAGTTACTTGAACTTGGTGGGGCACAGTGGCTCACACTTATAATTTCAGCATTCTGGGAGACAGAGAGGAAGATCCCTTAAGCTGAGGAGTTCAAGACAAGCCTGGGCAAGAGCAAGACCCCATCTCTACTAAAAACAAACAAACAAACAAAAATAGCAGGGCATTGTAGATGCCTCTAGTGGCAGCTACTCGGGAGGCTGAAGCTGGAGAATTGCTTGAGCTAGGAGTTTGAGGTTGTTATGAGTTAGACTGATGCCACATCTAGCCTGGGTGACAGAGTGAGACTCTATCTCAAACTAAACATAGCAAAAGTTATGTGAACTCAACGGAATAAAATAAATGAATAAATAAATTTCTAACTCTCTGAACTTAATTATGTATCTGAAATATCTCATACAGTAACCATTAGCCATATACGGCTACTAAACATCTGAAATGTAGCCAGCATGATTCCAAGATTGAATTTTAAATTTTAATTAACTTTAATCTAAAAACTGATGCACCGTAAAACGTTTTTCCATCAAGCACAACTTTACTGCTTTGGTAGGATGACATTTTACTTTACTGCAGTATTGCAGTGTATACGTCAGGCTCATGTGTCATCACTAGTATCACACACAGACACATCGCTATTCTTCTTGGGGACAATAGTTTGATTCAGTTCAGTGATTTCCTCCTGTATACTAATGAAACATTATGATGTGTTTATTATTCAGAAAGCATGAGCTGTAGTGCTAGCCACATAAATCACAAATTGGTAACAAAGGTGAAATATAATTTTTTTCTGGTTTAAAAATCATGGACAAATTTTAAAATTTAAAATAAAGGCATATTACTTGCTGTGGAATTGATTAAGGACACAGAACTATGACTGCATCAATAAAGAAAAAAAAACCTGGAAGAAAACATGTCACAAAGTCACAAAGAATGGCAACATAAAACACTGCCAGGTGAAAAAGCAAGTTTGTTCAATGTGTAAAGGAGACAGTTTCAGCAAATATGTAATGAATTTGATAAGTATGTTCCTTCCAACAACAACAATGAAATCAATGAAATTAGTGGCTTAAATCACAATTAACTATTCTACAAAAAAAAAATTTTTTTTTTTTTTTGAGACGGAGCCTCAAGCTATCCCCCTGGGTAGAGTGCCCTGGCCTCACAGCTCACAGCAACCTCCAACTCCTGGGCTCAAGCGA